CATTTTACTTTTACTATTTCTATTGAGACAAACTACAAACTACTATGATTTCTGAAAAGACAAAGTTAGGCACCCCGGCTATGGGAATTATTTTACAGTATGCATGTTTTATTATTAATTTACCTGGAAGTATTGACAGTTATATTATAATGCATTAGACTTTCATCCAAACATTTGAAGTCACTTTTTTGATTTGTTTATTATTCGTTCATTGCACACCCGGTGGTTAAGAGATATAACATAGCGGACAACTGCCCTGGAGACCGGCAGTATAATCTTTTTGTATGGCACTTTTAAAAACAATGTTTACAAAGTCAGCAGGATAAACAATAAAACAGTCATACTGCAAAGTCAAAAATAATTAGATACAGGAAAACAAAGCAGACATTAAAATACAGCAAGTGAAGTTTAAAACTAACAGTTAAAAGCTGTTCGATAAAAGTGGGTTTTAAGGAGGGATAGAAGCAAAGCAGACTGATAGAAGCAAAGGTGCCCCCGATGCAACAACCGCAACCATTCATGCACTCAGTAGATCAAATGTGGCTGAAACACAAGAACATAATGTGGCAGCCAAAGTATTGAGGCTGTCTTACTAATCTCTGGTCCAACGCAGTGACGAGCAGAGTATTACAAATATAAGATTGATTCAGTGATAGTTTTAATAACCTCAGTCCAAATATATAAGATTGCATTTCTTCTCAATCAACGCAATGGCATCAAGAACAGATATAGCACCTGGCTCTGCAACAGACACTTTTAGGATTTAAAACAGAGGAAAAACATGGTGCATGAAGCCAGAATCTGAACATCATTAATAAACTAAAGGTCCTCAACTGCTCATGATTGATTACACACACAAAAATAATTCTCAATGGAATGGTTGTGGTTGTTCTAATTGTACTGTAATATTGAGTGGCCACTAATCAGTCTCAGATACAATTATTGTACCGTGAGTTGCTGCATAACCAGGGAAAAGAAGCTTATCAAACATAGCAGTTGGTCTTTACATTAGTCAGAAGAATAAGCAGTACATAATTACATGACATGCCCTGAATAATTGTTACACATTACTCGTCTTGCCGGAGGAGTTTTCAGCAGCAGAGCCAGTTTCCAGGTCACACTTCACCTACTTTTCTGCTAAAGCGGAGTACCATCCAGGCCACCTTCACTGCAACAGCTCTGCCTTAACCACAAAGATCCACCAAGGTGCTTACAGAACTTTAGGAGAAATTTTGAGATTAAAAATGTATGTATATATATTAATTATTATGAAATGCACGGTTATTTACTCGAAAATGTAAATATCTAGAAAATGTTGGCTTATAACATTGCACGTAATGAGTCGTTATCATATTCACTTTCACATTTTAGGTAGGATTAAAGAAAAAACCTAACTTTTCAATATTCTAATTTCCTGAGTTTCGCCTGAACAAAAAATATTTGATCAAAAAAGGAAAGGCCATGTCCTATTTTCACATGTGTAAGAGACTCAGGGATCATGTGTCCAAAGCATTAACGCTATAATGATTGACATCCAATTAATGACAAATGATGACAAGTGTGAATGGCTTCTATCAAGGCACATTATGTCAAAGAAATGTCATCAAACACATCTTTCTGGACAAGACCAGTGTTAAAGAAGCTTTTACTTGCACCGTGGGTTTCAAAATGATGAAATAATGGTTGACTAACAATGGAAAAAACATTAATATTTTGAATGGGAAAAGTAAAAAAGGAAGAAGCAAACAATCTTGAAGAGAAATCCGGGAACAGGAAGACTTGAATCTTTTGTTTCTTATGTGAGGCATCTGCTTTGAAACATTTCCTCTCTTCATCCACACCTTTCAGCTCATGCCATAACCCTCCTCCTCCCCATCACTACCTCTACAATGGGACATCAGCACCTTAATCATACTCTTTTTGCATATAACAGGCAAAGGTTCTATCATGCTCTACATTACTGAAAAACGCATGTCCAAATTGCCATCCATTCGTTTTCTACCGCTTTATCTGTTGCCGAGTCGCAGCGGCAGCAGTCTGAGCAAAGACGCCCAGACTTCCCTTACCACACACACTTCCTGCCATGTACCAGTACAGCTCCATAAATATACTTCCATACCATAGGTGTCTACCGGGTCTACTACAACATACTCATGCAGTAACTATTCAATTGAACTTATTTTAGTATAAAGTATAGCCCTAAATCTCTCAACGGCAGTCGTCTCGGAGGACTTTACAAAGTTGTCGATTTCAGAGTTCAGAGAATCAAACACAAGAAACACCATAATAACAAACACATAGGAGCCATTTGTCTATAAGGAGCAGCCAATGTCCATAAATGTTATTAAATGTCCATGATCATTCAGATACATCTATTGTACAACACACAAATGGACCCACACACACGCACAAACACACACACACACACACAGGGTGCGTGTGTGCGTTTCTTTCCGGAGCGCCTGTTGTGATGATATAAGAGCCCATGTTTTTCCTCAAATAGTGCAGCAGTAATGTTGTTAGTGAAATAAAGCAAAACGAAGGCACATGTGTTTCTGTCAGACCCCAGAGACACAACACTGACTGAAAAATATGGAAAGTCCGTAATTCTGTGTGGAAATGTGGCCTCAATAAAGCTGTCACAGAGTCAAGGTAGATTTGGAGTCGTGTTTTTCTAGAGTACTACAAATGCCACTATTACTACAGCTGAAGGAATATTAAATTATAGGAAATTAGAACCATCTATTTTTCTCTTTCATGTTTTATCTACATACGACAAATATAGAATTGTTTATTTGATGACGACTGCGCCTACATTGTCCCTGGTGTTGGCAGAAGAGGCTCACAGAGTTGACAGTAATGAGAGCAGGCTTCCGAAACTAATTACAATTCTCAAAGGAACAGCACCGAATTACCACAACCTCTTCTGCCTGTCAATCCTTCCATCGATCGATGTAATTTTAGGTCAATTTTCCAGTTCTATTTAGGGTAGGCTAACGGATGCTATGGACGTTTCATCAGGATCCCAACAGACTGTCATCATAGAAGCTGTGGTGCACATTGTTGGAAATGCATTTAACAAAAAGCTAATAGCTAATTAATGGGATACTACTGTATAAGTTCACCCTCAAATATAGACATGAAAAATGTGAATTGCCCATGGCCCTGTAAGCACCAGAAAACACATGATTGAGAATGAAACAAGGAAATTATGAGAATTAACAATACAAAATTCAAGGTTCTTTAATTAACTTTTTCTTGCTGAAACAAGCTCAGGGTCCCTACATGAGATTGGCACATCCTTGGCGTGCACTAGTGCATGTTTCTGTCTTTATTTAAACACATGACACTGCACATCAGTACAGTATATGCAGTCACTTACTCACAGAAAAGAGCCACATAGGTTTAATATAGTACTAACGTTAAATGATTAATATAGTTTATACAAAAACTAGACATAAACTCTTGGATGACATCACATCCCTCCCCTGCTGCTCTTCATGTTTGTGCATTCAGAACATTGGAGTGTGTGTATGTGTGTGTGTGCGTGCGTGCGTGTGTGTGTGTGTCTGTGTGTGTGGAGGTGAGCCCAGCAGGTGGCTGCTGTGTCCCTCTGTGTGACCTTCTCTCCTTCACTGGCACACTTCCTCCCTTATCTCCTCTTACAGCTTCCTTCCTACTGGCCATTAGTGCACAAGCACTTACACCTAATCCTCCAATAATGCCCATTCATGCGCAGCATTTTCTGTAACTGATAATGATTTGCCTTACAGGATAACGGCATGTTAACATAACTTTCTTTCTTCATATACCATATAAATGTTATTGATACTGTACATAGAATACACAATAAGTCAGTCGTTTCAAAGTAAATAGTGCCAAAGGTGCAGTTTCTAGAGTTTTGTTAAAGACAGACTACAACACAGATTAAGAGAAAAAAATCTGGCATCACTACCTGCTTTGAGGTTCAAAAGACCATCTGAAATGTAAAATATTGCTTTGTAGGATGAGAACCTGAGTTAAGCTTTCAAGCCTCTGAAGTCTCTCTAAAACATCAACAAACCACCCTCTCTAGGACATTCTCATACATCTAAAAAGTGCAAATTCTGCCAGAAACTTTTCCTTTGAACCCTGAACATTATGTTTCTCTGACTATGACATGATGAAAAGTGGTCCTGTACACTGACTTCGGGGCGAGTGTTGGGAGCGGGTTCTCTCCACGTTTTACTGACTGTGGTCAACAGCGGAGAAGGTTTACTGCAGGTTCATGTGAGAACTCTTGTCCGATCACTAGGAAACCACTTCAGACTTCTGTCGTGTGCAGGAAAGAGAATCATCAGATAGTTTCCTCAAACCAGCGTAGCATTCGTACACCCACTGGCCCTGCTCCAAGGTCAGTGTAACATATCAGTTTTGAACACTTTCATCAACTCTCTGAAAGATTCTAAGATTCAGCAATAATCCTACATCACTGCCACATGTAACACACTTCACTTCAAGCATCATTAAGGTGCTGTCCTGTTATTGAACTGTATGTCTTGTATTGAATATACTTGATGTGTCTTTTGTATAATTTTTTTAATGGACTTTTAATCTTTTTTTTATGAATGGTGAGTGCTCCAAAACAATTTCAATGTAAATGGTGTTAGTCACAATTGGGGAATTTGTGACATTTGTGAAAAATGTTTTATCTTGACCTTCATTTTGGTTTAAAACATGCTCATTCCTCAACCATTCATCAGATTTTAGTGCTTAATGTCTGATGTTTTACAGTGAAAAGACCAGTTTCTCCAATGATAGAACGTGTAAGTATGTTTCTAATGTAAAATCAACATTTAAAGACAAACTGTACAAATATGCAGAAGAAACAACACTTAGATGAAACCATGAAGAGGATCCAAAACCAGTACAGTTAAAGAAGAGCCCTTTTCAAGAATCTGAAAGATAATTTGTTTGTTGGTCTCTCTGATTTGTAGTGATAAGTAATGAGTAATCCTTACCGTAATAACGACTAGACCTCCAGGCGCGGACGGCACAGTGTAGCACCCCGTCCAGCCACAGAAGCAGCCAGCTGATGCAGAAGCCCAGCAGCAGACCCAGCATCAGGTCCATCTCCTGCTTCGTCACACTGTCACTCACAAAGTAGTTCTCTGAGGAGTCCACCAGCGAGTGGTCCCCGTCGTATGGGATTACATAGTGGACATGATGTCTGTAGGGAAGAAACGGTGGAAAGATTAATGTATTATTTGTATGAGTCAGTCGATGAGAACTGTCAGACAATAATGTGATATTTTTATATGTTCAGTGTGTACAGTATATGTACTTTTGTTCATGGTCTCAGTGTGTACAGTATATGTACTGTTGTTCAGGGTCTCAGTGTGTACAGTATACAGTATATGTACTGTTGTTCAGGGTCTCAGTGTGTAAAGTATACAGTATATGTACTGTTGTTCATAGTCTCAGTGTGTACAGTATACAGTATATGTACTGTTGTTCAGGGTCTCAGTGTGTACAGTATACAGTATATGTACTGTTGTTCATAGTCTCAGTGTGTACAGTATATGTACTGTTGTTCAGGGTCTCAGTGTGTACAGTATACAGTATATGTACTGTTGTTCATAGTCTCAGTGTGTACAGTATACAGTATATGTACTGTTGTTCATACTCTCAGTGTGTACAGTATATGTTCTTTTGTTCATAGTCTCAGTGTGTACAGTATACAGTATATGTACTGTTGTTCATAGTCTCAGTGTGTACAGTATACAGTATATGTACTGTTGTTCATAGTCTCAGTGTGTACAGTATACAGTATATGTACTTATGTTCATAGTCTCAGTGTGTACAGTATACAGTATATGTACTGTTGTTCATAGTCTCAGTGTGTACAGTATACAGTATATGTACTTATGTTCATAGTCTCAGTGTGTACAGTATACAGTATATGTACTTATGTTCATAGTCTCAGTGTGTACAGTATGTACTGTTGTTCATAGTCTCAGTGTGTACAGTATTCAGTATATGTACTTATGTTCATGGTCTCAGTGTGTACAGTATGTACTTATGTTCATAGTCTCAGTGTGTACAGTATACAGTATATGTACTGTTGTTCATAGTCTCAGTGTGTACAGTATACAGTATATGTACTTATGTTCATGGTCTCAGTGTGTACAGTATGTACTTATGTTCATAGTCTCAGTGTGTACAGTATACAGTATATGTACTGTTGTTCATAGTCTCAGTGTGTACAGTATTCAGTATATGTACTTATGTTCATAGTCTCAGTGTGTACAGTATACAGTATATGTACTGTTTTTCATAGTCTCAGTGTGTACAGTATACAGTATATGTACTGTTTTTCATAGTCTCAGTGTGTACAGTATACAGTATATGTACTGTTGTTCATAGTCTCAGTGTGTACAGTATACAGTATATGTACTGTTGTTCATAGTCTCAGTGTGTACAGTATACAGTATATGTACTGTTGTTCATAGTCTCAGTGTGTACAGTATACAGTATATGTACTGTTGTTCATAGTCTCAGTGTGTACAGTATACAGTATATGTATTGTTGTTCATAGTCTCAGTGTGTACAGTATACAGTATATGTACTGTTGTTCATAGTCTCAGTGTGTACAGTATACAGTATATATACTGTTGTTATATACAGACAGGAAGTACTTTGTGGAGATTGGAAACTGTGTCTCAGATCATATGGCCCTGACCTGTGGAGTCCCACAGGGGTCGATCCTGGGACCTCTTCTGTTCAATCTCTACATGCTGCCGTTAGGTCAGTTAATACGCAGAAACAAAGTTTCCTATCATAACTATGCAGACGACACTCAGATCTATGTCTCACTGACTGCAGGAGAACATGGACCAGTGGACTCACTCCTTCACTGTATCCAACAAATCAGTGAGTGGATGCAAAACAACTTCCTTCAGCTAAACGCAGACAAAACTGAAATGATTGTCTTTGGTCCCCAGAAACAAAGAGAGAGCGTCATCTGTCATCTACAGTCTCTCTCCCTAAAACCTTCAAACAAGGTCAGAAATCTAGGGGTAATACTGGACTCAGACTTAAATTTTAATAGCCACATCAAATCAGTAACATCAGCAGCTTTTTACCATCTAAAAAACATTGCCAGGATCAAAAACATAGTGTCTAAAGCAGACTTGGAGATTCTTATCCATGCATTTGTCTCCAGTAGGTTAGACTACTGCAATGGCCTGCTCACAGGTCTGTCCAAACAGGCTGTAAAACAGCTGCAGTACATTCAAAATGCAGCAGCTCGAGTCCTGACTAGAACCAGGAAGTACGACCACATTAGTCCAGTTCTCAGGTCTCTGCACTGGCTTCCTGTGGCTCAGAGAATAGACTTTAAAACAGCTCTGCTTGTGTACAAGTCTCTCCATGGCCTCGCACCAAAATATATTAGTGACATGTTAGTCCCATATGAACCAGCCCGGACTCTGAGGAGCACAGGGACTGGACTCCTGTTAGTGCCCAGAGTCAGAACTAAACATGGGGAGGCTGCTTTTCAGATTCATGCTGCTAAAATCTGGAACAATCTTCCTGAAAATGTGAGACAGGCCTCCTCTCTGACAATGTTTAAAACCAGGTTAAAAACGGTGCTGTTTAGCTGTGCATACAACTGAGGGATTTTATATTTTTATCTTTTGTTTTAATGTTCTGTAATTATTTATGATTTTAATGCATCTTGTTCAGCACTTTGAGTTGCCTTGTGTATGAATTGTGCTATACAAATAAACTTGCCTTGCCTTGCCTTGTTCATAGTCTCAGTGTGTACAGTATACAGTATATGTACTGTTGTTCATAGTCTCAGTGTGTACAGTATACAGTATATGTACTGTTGTTCATAGTCTCAGTGTGTACAGTATACAGTATATGTACTGTTGTTCATAGTCTCAGTGTCTACAGTAGCCAGTTATGAATAATACATAATGGCTTCAGTTCACTCGTCCATCATCTTTTGTTTATTATTGAATTCCGTTATTCTCTACCATAGATACTAATTTATTAAAGTCTTAAACACATCACTATAAGTAGATCTTAATCTGTATATATTGATCTGCAGCTGCAGCAGCCACACAGTGCATCACTTTGCATACTCTGCTTTCCTTTAAGACAAACAACAACATCAAAACCATTATCCAACGGCTCACATGCTCTTCTTTCACACATGGATTTGTTTCTCGACTGTTCCTCAAACACATGAAATACACTGACGTATATTCAGTGTTTAATCTTATTTTAGAGCCGACATCAGTACATTTTAGCCTATGAACCATGAGTCTTAAATCTTAGGCCATTACTTTGTTTGGAAAAACCAGTGTCTAAAGAAAACTGCTCTGCACTTAAGAAAGAACCCACTAAAGATGCAGCAAAAAAGCTCTCTGGTAAATGAGCTTGTACTAAATAAAATCAACTATAGATCAACATTTTGGGTTCTATACATTCTATATTCTATTACATACATTATATTCTATATTATACATTACAAAAGGGCGATTCCAATTAAAGCCTTTATTCTACGGATTGCTTTAAAATCTTGATTTCAAACATTTATGAATGTCAATTAGTATGAGTTAGTTCGATTTATTTAAAACCTGCTGAAAAAAAATTCACATATTTTTACACAAATACAAGTTAGTAATGGGGCTGGATTATGCAGACACTTAATAAATAATAATTATAAAACATTTATCTGGAAATTTAGTTTTATACACCCCCTTCAATTGATGAAATATAAATGGCACCAGCAAATTTGAAAATATTTGCCAAATTGACTCAACATCTAGTTTTAAGACAATTATAAAGCCAGAAAACAGTTGAAAGTATAGTCATCTGCATATGCTACAAAAGAAAAGTTGATCTCTTTGCCACACATGCTTGCTCTAATAACAGACTTTTAACCTCATGAAAGACTACGGTCATATTTTTGGTCGTTGGTTTGTCCCAGTCTCATAACGTCTGTCAGAGCAGGAGCTTAGACCAGAGCAGTCCTATACAGCACGCTACAAAACACCTCCGCATACTCCAGGACTCATGAAATCTTCACTCAAACTGTAATCCTACAACCTGCTGATCACGACTTTACAGCAGCTGTGAACATGGCGCCATAAGCCAAACAGGTGAGTCACTGCAGTCACATGTTGGCATCGAAGCGTTGAAATGGGTTTAGAATTTTAAAAAAGATTAGAAGAGCTGACATATGGTTTTAAAGGTGACATATAATCATACTCTGTGGACGAGTGGATCAAACGAGTGCTGTTGGTAGAGGGGATTAGAACTCAAAAAGGCAAGAATCAACACAGAAAAGAGACAAAAGCCAATTTGTTAGATAGCAACTACTCAGCAACCAAAGAGCCAATCAGGAGCAGCTATTGGTTATCTAAGGCTGAATTTGGGGATACAAGGCCTCATATTGGTCAGTTTTTAGAGTCAAATCTGGATTTAATAAGACAAATATGAAAATAAAACGTCTGCGACACACCACAGAATTGTTATGACCAATATGGTTAGTGTGCCAAACGGTTACTGAGTATGGAGAGTTCACAGCGTTTTCAATTAAAGTGAAACGTAGTTAAACCACGCATTTGAGTAATCTTTACTCTCCTGCAGTCAACCATTGTTAGAGGTGGGAAACTAAAAGCCTCAAATAATTGGTTGTAATTGGTGATTTTTTGCCAAGCCGAAAGACCAAGGCAGTGTCATTGCAGCCGTCCTCCGTGGACCCACCATCTCCAGGAGGATCAGAGAGGGGCCAGTGCTTTGAGAATTGGGCTGCAGCTCTCCAACCAGACGACGAGAATTAATAAATGAACCTTACTCAAGGCATAAAGTACATATTAAAGGAGCAATATGTAAAAATCTGGCCAAAACTGGTACTGCAACCTGTCCCACTCTCCCTGACTCAGGTTGCCACATATGCAGACTTATCCAGCTGGGACCATAGCTGGAGAGACTAGAGTTTTGTCAACAACAAATCTAAAACCAACACCTTTTTCACAAAGGCCTCGATAGAAATCCTCGTTTTATACCTTGTTTTGTCATAAACGATTTGAGAATCATAACAAGAGCTTTTTTACTGCGGCCTGACATCAACTCGGTGAGTTCTGGCAACCCGGATCACAGACTTTCTGATTGGTGAAACGGTGGATGGGCGGGACATCAAAATGAAAATGACAA